TTCCGGGCAGCGTCGGCGGCGGGATGGGGTCGGTAAAAATACCAAAAAATAAGTAAACGCAGCTTAGCAAATTGTGCGCTGCCAACGACTTGAGTTTTATTTTTATGTTGATGCAAAAACTTTACGTGCTCAAGTTTATTGAGTGGCTGCTGTATATGAAATTTAGTTAGCTGTGCGTGCGTATCTCCCTCTCTCTCTCTCTCTCTCTCTCTCTCTCTCTCTCTCTGTGTGTGTGTGTGGCACTTAAATGGGCAGAAAAGGGCTAAGCTTGTGCTGGGTTAGGGCCGAGCTAATCAGCAACTGTCTGCAACGACAACATCGAGTTTGAATGTTAAATAGAAAACCCGATTTGGCCAGCAGGCAGGAACGGGATTTCATCAGCAGCTCAGAAACCTGTAGATGGGTCGCTGGCGATTTCTTTTGGATCCTTTCGTGAGCAAGAAGTCATCTTTCATCATCAAAGAATGAATGAAGTAGAGCTCAGGTGTGGGTCACCTGGGCACGCACCCATGTCAAGGGCATTTTAGAAATTCCATTTGGGAAACCCTTTAAGCGTAAGCTTGAATCCATTTGTAGCTCAACTAAAGGCTCACTCAAATTCGAAATGCATAAAAGCTAATTTTAGCCACATTAATTAGAGAGTTGCAGCGGTTGCAATGGATCGCCTGGGCGATTCCTGCTTTGCATATTCATTTGATGGTGGAAAGTGGATAACGCCCGTTATGTCAGATGCCGGCCAAAGTAAAAGTCTTGACTGCGGGCGATTCAATTTTTAATGAAGCCAACGCAGCAGCGAACACCAGCCACGCCTTTGCGGCCATAAAATGAAATGGAAAATTGGCGCCAAGGGGCTAACAGCTGCTAAAAGAAAGACCAAAAATGTTGCATCACACTTTCACGGAGCTGGGCGAAGGGCATTAGGCAAAACTAACACCAAAGTGGGCCAAAAGCCGCACGCACTAACCGCACTGCACTGCCACCTTCTGCCCAACAAACTGTTCCCAGCCCCAAGATCCACAGCTGAGTAACTAAGTGCCAACATTTAGCTGCCAAATTTGAGTCCTCTTTCAACTTCTTGCTGTCATTGGCTAACCAAACGTGTTTTCCCATTGGCATAAATATTTAGATAATTTTCAACTCGTACAGCAAGTTTATAGCCCCTTTGACGGCCTCTCAAAGTTGGCCAGAAAACTTGAGCTAAACTCAGCTGGTAAAAGATTCAAATTAGAGTAGTCACTGTCATTGTCATTGTCATTGTCATTGTCATTGTCATTGTCATTGTCATTGTCATTGTCATTGTCATTGTCATTGTCATTGTCATTGTCATTGTCATTGTCATTGTCATTGTCATTGTCATTGTCATTGTCATTGTCATTGTCATTGTCATTGTCATTGTCATTGTCATTGTCATTGTCATTGTCATTGTCATTGTCATTGTCATTGTCATTGTCGTTGTCATTGTCATTGTCATTGTCATTGTCATTGTCATTGTNACACCAAAGTGGGCCAAAAGCCGCACGCACTAACCGCACTGCACTGCCACCTTCTGCCCAACAAACTGTTCCCAGCCCCAAGATCCACAGCTGAGTAACTAAGTGCCAACATTTAGCTGCCAAATTTGAGTCCTCTTTCAACTTCTTGCTGTCATTGGCTAACCAAACGTGTTTTCCCATTGGCATAAATATTTAGATAATTTTCAACTCGTACAGCAAGTTTATAGCCCCTTTGACGGCCTCTCAAAGTTGGCCAGAAAACTTGAGCTAAACTCAGCTGGTAAAAGATTCAAATTAGAGTAGTCACTGTCATTGTCATTGTCATTGTCATTGTCATTGTCATTGTCATTGTCATTGCCATTGTCATTGTCATTGTCGTTGTCATTGTTATTGTCATTGTCATTGTCATCGCCATTCTTACCCTGACAGCTCATCAGCCAATCAATTCTAATTTATCAATTTAACTACTTCAACGTTAAAATATAAAATGGATCATTGCACACCAATTGAGAATATTTTATAGGCAACTTTGTACGAAAACATTTACTTATTTAACTCGGTTAAGGTGTGAAATGGATCATTGGAGGCACAATAATTATTTATTCGAGCATATGCGGTGCCTTTCATTTACAATTTCTATATTTGTGGTTGAATGCTTGAATGAATGCACAATTACGAATGTGTTAAGGGCTTTTTAATTAGGCCGCATTTGAAATTTGAAAGATTTTTGCCAATTAATTAATATATCACACAGGCACACACACACACGCACAGACACATATRATATATAAGAAGCTTAAATACTTTTAATTAGAGCTCGTTCTATTTGGTAGTTTCTGGCATATTTGGCCTACGCTTTTGGCATTTCCTAGAGAACTCAAAAAACAAATATTAAATAAATGAATGGATTCGAGCACGTGCATAGACAACAGGCAACTTACCAATACACGCACACACACGCGAGCGCGCTCACGCACACCAACTACAATTAAGTTTCCATATTTTTGTTCTCTCTTATCAGCGAATGTTTGTGTGTGTGTGTGTTTGTCTGCTGTACGTGCGCATTTATAACTGTGTGCGTTTAAGTGTTTGCCTACAACTACATTAACACTTTTTGGCTTTGACTTGATTTGCACAAAGCAGATGAGATGCTGCTGTTTGTCTAGCGCCCTCTTTTGTTTGGAACATTTAAATGAGAAAACTTTTATCTAGTTTCCTCCCCATTCCCTCGAATACCTATCACTCTTACCCCAACAGAGGGGGGCGAGTGGGGGCGATAAATAGTAGGATGAGGGACTCTTTCACCCATAGATACATAGAAAACATCTCAGACTGAACTTAACAGTCAAATGACGCACGTTGGTCCAGGCACATCACAAAATACTTGTATTTACCCAAAAAAAAACAAAAAACAAAAAAACAAACACAAAAAAAAAGTCAAGTAAAAGCGATTTTCGTTTTCGTTTTTGTTTTTCTTGTTTGTTTGCTTTTCTGAACTGTACAAGTTACACACACAAACACACACACACACACACACACACGGCTACAAGTTATGCGTGAGTTTTATATGACTTTTTATTGACAAAATGACAGCATTATGTGGCTAGCATTCACATAATGATACTATACTACGATTACAGCACACTGCATATTTTAGTATACCCTGTAAAAGTGAATGAAGCTAATAAGACTTAATGCAAGGCTGCAAATATATTTTAAGTTTAAAGTTTGAAGCTGAAATCAAAACCAAAAAAAAAAAAAAAACCTTTTAAAATATTGAGGTAGGCTTAAAATTGCTTTACTCAAGTAGAGCACAAACAAACTGTTACATAAAACTTCTTAATCTGTTAGATAAAGCTACCCAATGCTAAATTTGAATGAAAACATATTGATTTAATTATTTGCTATGATCAGCTTCAATTTAAATGAAATTCTTAGTTCAATATTAAATATTTTCAAGTTCCTTCATTCTTGCATGACTTACTTAAGATCATTAAGCCAGTTAAATGAGCTAGTTCATTCCATGAAACTTTTGAATGCCAAAAATTAAAGTAAATGCTTTTGTGGGTATTCGAATGATTCATTCATGATTCTATGATATACAAAAGATCAATCTGCATCCTTCCAGTGATTCAAATTCTAGTAAAATATAGTTAACATGAGCAAAAGGATCTGGCAGCACGCTTATTCCTAATCGATACTATCGATAATAAATAATCACTCGCTTTACCGTCATTAGATAATAAGAATTGTGATCTTACTTTTTAAGCACGTTCATATATCGTAACATAATAAATATACTATGAGCTTAATTAATAAAGATCATATCCCTGTAGACACCCAACTCCATAAAGTCATTGAAAGAACCTTTTTCCAGATGAAGTATCTAGAAGTCTAGCCGTCTTTGAGTCACTTCTTAGAACTACGCTTCAGTAAATTCCCTTGGAATTTCTATCTTAAAGTTAATTGTTCAATATGCTAGCAATTGAAGCATAAACTATATATATATTTAGATAAATATACATATATATGTATGTGTGTATATCAAATGTCCTTGCTTAGCTCTGCCTGCAATCTGCGCAAAGTTTACTTATTGTTTGACTGAATAAAGATAACTATTTCTGTTATGTGCCGAACCCAATGGAAATGTGCGGGTTTGTTCATTCTGCGTGTGCATGTGTGTGTGTGTGTGTGTGTACTATGCTTGCCTTGGACAGATTGCAGTAGCAGCAGCTCTACGACATGTGTGCCAGGTATCTCCTAGTCGTTCACTCCCTCTCTAGAGAGAGGACTCTTTCTATCCGCATATATACAGTTTTTGTTGTTGCTGCTCTCACTTTTCGCCGCACTCTGGCTCTTGTTACATAGTTGGATGTGAGCAAGAGTAAACTTGCTGTCATCGGCAGCACATAAAAAACTTTAAGCAACAAAATCGCATAAACTGTTGTTAAGTGAAAGTGCGATAAATCAATTTGTAATTGGGGCAAGTTTGCCTGCCGCCCTGGGCCTCGGCCTGTGTGTGTGTGTGTGTGTGTATTCCCCAGAATAACATATACAGCGACGCGACTTAACCCAAGCATGTTATACTTTGTGTAGTTATTGGCAAATACATATGTGAGGCTGTCGAGGACTTTGGTTGGCCAAGCTCTGCCAGCCACATCCATAGACAATCGGCTGAGCTGGTTGGTGTGTTGGTATGAGTGTTGTTATGGTGATAAAATTACATTTTGCAGCCTTTCATTTTTGCTGCTCTTCTTTTTTCGCTTCTTGGTCAACAGCTTAAGCTGGTCTGTGCCGGACTTTGACACAAATCCCTATGAAAAATACATAAGAAAAACATCTTACACACATGTATGTATGTATATTTATATATGTATGTGTGCAACACAACTGTGGAAACATTTAGGATTAAGTATTTATTATATTTGCAGACACACACACACACACACACACACACACACACGCAGAAATCTCAAGAGCTTCTTGTTTGCTTGATTTTATTTACAGCTGGATTTGCAATTACAAGACGAAGCCGGCGGCGACATCTCGAGTTTCATAACAAACGGCGAATGGGACTTGTTAGGTGAGATTTATGTGTGAAATATGTATTTCATATAGATGCCGTTAAATATTCTATTGAAAAAAAAAAACTAAAAGAACGAATCACACACACACACACAATCAACTAAAACCAGAATTAAATAATGTTTGTAAAATGAAGTAAATCTCAACATTAGCATAAATAATTTCCAAAATAATTTACTAATTAATGACTATCAATAATTCTCATTCTCTTTTCTGCATATGCTCATCTCATTTGCACCAACAAACAACAACAACTACAACTACTACTACAACAACAACTCTAACCACATCACAAATTAAAAAAAAAAAAAAAACAAACAAATTGAATAAATTCAACCAAAAATTGATCAGGTGTGCCCGGTAAACGTAATGAAATCTACTATAATTGCTGCCCAGAACCTTATATTGACATAACATTCGCCATTTTGATACGACGCAAAACTTTATACTATTTTTTCAATTTGATCGTGCCGTGCGTATTGATCGCATCGATGGCACTGCTAGGGTTTACACTGCCACCAGATTCTGGTGAGAAGCTATCGCTTGGTAAGTGTCCGTCCAGAAAAACACAAAAAAAAACAAAAAAAAATGACAAAAAAAAAAACAGAAAATTAAAAACAATATCGAATTAAATACAACACCAAAACCAACAGAAACAACAACAACAAGTAGCAATTGCAACTCTGATATTTCCCCGCAACTAAATAGTAAATTTTACTACTACTAGTCTATGTTCCAAAAGTGTTTCGTATATATTTAATTGTTGACAAGTTTGCTGTAGGATTTCTTACTTGCATGCTCTCTCTCTCTATCTATCTTTGTCTATCTCTGTCTCTCTCTAAATCAAATGAAACCAAACACACACACACACACACACATACGTATATATATTTATATATTTATTGTGAAACGGAAGCCCATTCGCTATAAGAGGCTGCCAGCAGTAGGACACAAGTTGACTGCCACACACACACACACACACATACATACACAGATTACGTATACGCCGCATAGAGCCTTGACTAACTATGCAAATGCAATGCAATCCAATGGCCGACGGCAATGGCAACAACTCTGCCAGCGAACAAACAAAGCGCACGAGTGTTGCAAGTGCAAAAAAAAAAAAACTAAATAGGAGAAAAAAAAGAAAAAAAAAAAAACAGCAGCCGTCACCATCATTTGTAATCAAAGTCAGCGCTAGCAAAAGTGAAAAATATGGCACAGCTGCTGGCCCACCTTTCAGCTGGGAGAATAGGACGCAAATGCAGGACGACAGCCGACGACAGACGGACAAACGGACAGACGGACGGACGGACGGACGGCAAATGAGCACAGAGCCTTGAACCCTTGAACCTCACTCGACAGTGAGCCGCTCCCTAGTTAACCATGTCAAGCAACGCAACTCAAATACAAATATTTACAATCAACTCACATATATATATAAAACTATATATGTATGTATGTATTATATGTGGCACTGCTGCTGCCTAATGCATTCAGGCAACAAGAAGCACAGCCTTTGCCTTTGCCTTTGCCTTTACCGTTGCCTTTTGTGCTGCGAGTTGATACATTTTCGCATCGTTCGCCATTGATAATAGAAAAAAAAAAAAAAATAAAAAAATAAAGAATAAAAAAATAGAGTAAAGCTGCATTTTAGTCCTTTTAGACTTGATTTATGCACTCGATCTGTGTGGGCCAAGGCCATGATTGAGTAGCTCACAAACTCTGTTCAAAAAGTAGCGCAAATTTGTTGCGTTTATTGTATTTCGCTATTTATGAATATATATCGATAGTAGCTGCACGTGATTGCTGCAACTATCGCTGGTTGCCGGCTTTCAATACTATCGTTGCTTGCATCGATCACGCAACTGCTTTAATTGTAAGTCGAGCTGCAGTGCCCAGCCCTGGTTTCAATCATCGATACTATCGTTGCTCTCATCGATCGACTTAGCAGCTCTAATTCTTATGAGCTCTCTTCACTATTCTCTTTGTAGTTTTTCAAGCATTCGCTATTAAATGAATATAACATAATTGAATAAATGAATGAGTAAATGAAAATAAAAATAGATATTCGAAACTGTCTTCAGCTGTGATATATACCTTGAGCAAAGTTAAGGCGGCGCATTTCGTTTCTTTTCTTGGCTCTTTCATAGATATGACTATTATGATCTGTTGATCTATGGCCGCTCTGTTGCCTCTCATCTTTCGGCAAACAGCTCTGACAACTGACAAGGCACACCCACGCACACATTAAGCTGAGAAAGTTATGCGAAAATGTGGCAAAATGCTTTGCAGCTCATATACTGAGCATGTGCCTCACACACACACACACGCACAGACACAGTGGAACATAGCTGACACAACGACAGACAGACATTGGCCGTGGCTATGACGATGGCTGTCGCTGGGGCTCATCACGTACTTTCAACATGCAGCATATGGTGCATGCCAAAATTTATACAATACAGCTATACGAAAATACTTATATAAGTATGCTAGATATAAATATATCGCGTTTATGAGCGAGAGCRGCAAAAGTTTTGCTTGCAGCTGCTAGAAAACAAAACAACAACAACAACACATTGCCATATTTTAAAAATTGTTCATAGCAAAGGAAGCCCCAGCCCCGCTGTGCCATGGCCATGCGTGTGTGTGTATGTGAGAGTGTTCATGTGTGTGTGTGTGTGTAGCAAAACGCATTAGGGCTGCCATGGCTCATGCATAATAGACAAGTTTGCGTAAAACCCTGTGGCTAATTTATGTTTGCCCGACACTTTTGGCGGCTGCCGCCTCCGACCCCCTCCGCCCCGGCACCATCACGAACCTCCATGACGCTCAGCCAGCTGACTTTTCACATAATTTATATAACCTCAAAAGAGCAAGAGCATAAAATATGCACAGGACACACAAAAATAAATATAAAAATATATAAAAGAAAAATAGAAAAATAAAAAAAAAATAAAAAGAAAGGGAAGTACAAAATCTTTGATAACGCTAAGCACTCGAACTGACAAGCGCCAGCTGGCCAAAAGAAAACCCCAAGCAAAACCATAAATAATGATAACTTCCATAAGGTGCCGCAGGACCAATGACAAACGTATATGTATGTGTGTGTGTTTTTAGTTATGCTTTTATTTCGTATTGAAAACTAGTTTTGTGACACTAGAAACGAAACGAAATTCCGACGGACAACGAACGACGACGCTTGAGGTTCAGCGCAGAGAATACGGTAGTAGTTTTTTATTCACCAAGTGGGACAATTATATCATATAAACGCATCCATGCATCAATGCAGCAGCAGCAGCAGCAGCAACGCTGGAGCAGCAGGCAGGATCAGCTGGAAACACAACTCTTAGCGAATCAGTTTAAAGCTAATGAATATAATATGAATAATAATGCTATCTCTCTTTCTCTATCACAATTGCTCTCTCTCTCTCTCTTTCTCTATCTTTTCTTTTTCTTTGCGTATGTAACTCTCTCTCTCTCTTTCTCTCTCTCTCTTACACACCTACACACACATACCAATGCCTACACACCGTTATGCAATAATTTTGTGCTGCATACTTGCAGGAGTTACTATTTTACTATCGCTCACAGTCTTCCTGAATATGGTAGCGGAAACGATGCCAGCTACATCCGATGCTGTGCCGCTGTTGGGTAAGTAGAGGCAGCGCCATCTGGCGCTCGTCGGCTGGGCTAATTGCCCAGCGCTCGCTCGCTCGCTGTCTCTTTCTCTCTCTCTCTCTATCTATCTCTATAAATATCGCTGTCTTACTCGCTGACTTCAAATTAACGCACATTCAACTCTGCTCAACAAGAACAACAATAACAATATTTACTGTTACTACTACGACTATTTTAATAATAACAACAGCAGCAACAACAACAACAACAACTAATCAGCCAAGATTTTTACCTTCCGCACAGCCTCGATAATTGCCGCCAAGCTAATTTGCTGCATTTTTTTTATGTATTTTTTTTTTTGTCATATTTCGTTTTGTTAACTCGTTTTTATTAGTTTTCGTCAGAGCTTAGAAGGGGATGCCTAAAGCTGATGCTTAAAGCTTTACAGTGTGCGCTGTCAGTATGCACACATAGACTTTAAGTCAAGCTAAATACTGGTAAAAAGTGCGACTTGGGGTGATATCTAAGCAAGCTTATCTAATATCCAAATGATCTATATTTTTTAGCAGTGTATAGTAGGACTAGCAGCTGAATTTAATCATATATGGGCTAACCACAGAAGAGTTATATTAAGAGAAATTACAATTATATATGAAAGCTTTATTAATATATTCATATACTTAATATTTTTATTTGAAAGCTTTATTCATGGCATTTTATGTCCAATGAAATATTATTATAATAAGCTTTCAATATATGCTCATATTTTAAATGACTCGCCTTATCAACTTTTCTGATTCAATATCTATAATTATTTATAGTATGCATAAAACTACTACTAGGAAATTCCTGTAAAATATTTTACATAAATATCAAGTAAATACTACAAATGGCAAAGCTTATAGACTACGTCAACAACTCAATATTATTGATTGCATAAACAGCTGCTGAAATATAGCTATCAGAAGTATTATCACTCTTGCTGGTTGGTCACGCCTCACATGGCAGCTGCTTTGGCTAGATTAACTTTGCTCTACAGTCACGTAGGTATATATATGTATGTATGTGTATGTGTATGTGTATGTGTGCATGTGTACATGTGCCTTGCAGGCATGTCAGCTACACACAGCTGCAGAGCTGATAGTCCTCAATTGTTGCTAACTCAGATGAAATGCGAGCAGTTTCAATTAACACGCAATGAATGGACTCAAAGTCAACAAGCATATTAAATAACATTGAACGTAAAGTTCCCGGCTCGTATTAATTTGTCCGGCAAGAGTGAAATCAAAGCTCGTCGAAGATTTGCAGCGCTATTAGTTTCAAATTTTGAAGTTTCGCTAGTTGCCTCCTTGATGGCCATAAACACGTACAACAATAGAGATTGCCTCGTTTCGAGTTTCATGCAACACGCGCACCTTCGCGCCAGGGGAGCGAACTTTGGCCACAACGAGCGAAAGAGAGAGAGAGAGAGTGAGAGAGAGGGGGAGGGGGAGGGAGAAATGTTTTAGTGTCTAGTTTCTGGTATTTGTTTGCACTTTGTTTTCTTAATATTTCATTTAATGGCCGGCAAATGGAGCTGATGGCTGATGGCAATAGCAATGGCAATGGCAATGGCAATGGCTGATGGCAATGGCATTGGCTGATGGCGATGGGGACCCTCGCGCGCCTTTGGGGGCCGCTGTGATTTAAACGTTTTCATAAACTTTGCACAATTTATGCGCCTCGCACCAAAAACACATCCCAAGTTTGGCTACGTGCATTGAACTATATACATATATAAATATATATCTGTATATCTATATATATGTATATAGTAGCCCCTGCAATGCATTCAAAAAGTATTCAGCAAAGTGTTATAAATATTAAGTTAGATTTAGAGCTAACAATTGCAGCACGTAACACACACACAGTGCCCATTAAAAGTAACTGAACAATAACAATTCATGTCATTCGAATACAACAATGAACTAGCTCAAGTTAGTCGAAATTCCAATTGGAAAATGTAGCGATATACAAGCCGTTGCTAGTCGCTATGCAAATAATATGAGATCATAAACAATTAGTTAGAATCACATCAATTAGTAGTGTCAATCGCATATACTCTGTTTGTATGTAGCGTGTATGTGTGTGCGTGTGTGTGAATCGATGCATAACTAGCAATTTTTAGTGATATAGTATATTTTAGTTCACTAGAAACTAGTTCCACCCACTCACGTTCAGAACTGCAAAGACAAAAAAAAAATAAAACTTTTTACTAGTTCAACTTGGAGTCTTAAATGGAAAACCTGTAAATGCATCAATTGCAAATTTTTGACTCACAATTGAAGATTAATGTAGAGTTCCTGGTGGATGCTTGCAGACTTTTCCCATTGTCAGTTATATACCAAAATATTGTTTGTAAAATTACCTTAGTAAAAATTGATAAATCAATTTCAGTTTTAGCTAAGAGCTTCTTGAAAAAAATAAATAAATAAAAAAAGATAGAGAAAAAAAATTTGAGATTCTGCTTAAACTTGCTGAAATCGAAATATAAATTATTATTTTGAGCCAGTGCCCCTAAAGAGCTGAGAACTATTCAAATGAGCGATCATTCAGCATAACTCCTAATCTATCAAACTAAAGAGTTTTCAAAAACCAGTCAAGTTTTTAATATGATCTCTCTAATGTAACTCAGGAATATTTTGATAGCAAATCAACAATTATACATACGTTATAAGACAATTTACAGCTGTCTGTATGTGTGTACATGTGTGAATGCTATAATATATTAGGATCATTCAAATGTTTGTATGTGTGTATGTATGTATGTACATATACATATGAATGCACATACGCAGGTATTTATGTATGTAGGCATACATGTATATATACATACATATGTATGTAGGTGTGTAACCATATATTATCCAGTATGTTGACACCATTTAGTCACCTAGAGTATTAGCAATTAGGTAGACTCGCATTAGCATAACATTAGTTTAGATGCGTATTACTATAACTAACCAAATCCATATTAATAAATCAAGTCCATATCAGTGTCATGCATAGTAAAAACAAAACAAAAACAAGTTTTTTGTAATGATAGAGTAAACATTAATTGGTTTAGCATAGTACTACTGATAATAACTTATTGAAGCATGACAATACCAAGAGCAAAAACCACAACAACAACAATAACAACAACATTCAAATACCATATACTAATAATCCATAAAATAACAAATGTTCAGTGTTCTAATTCTATCATTTGTAGCCTAAATAGTAAGGTAAGTCTCATGTGTAAGTCATACTAACGTTTTTTATTGACCGTATACGTTCATTACTTCAAATTACTTACAAAACGTTCAATTTTCCATTTGGATTAACTCAAGATTTCGAACATTTCAGATGTACAAAAAAAAAAGAAGAAAAAAAAAGAAAAATAATAATAATAAATAAAGAAAGCTTCACCCATTCATCCATTTACGCATGCCGGGCCCCCACCCCCCTCCGCATATATAACCAATAATTTCTGTATATTTAGTTCACCCAAGACATATTTAGTACATTTAGTACAACAACAGCCAATGCACAGATTTACAATGAGTATGTATGCAATACACACACACACACACACATACATACATACACATACACATAGCAGTTGCAGACATTCATTCAAGTTCACACACACACACCTATCAACTGTAGTTGTGTACTTTTGAATATCGTATTTTATATATACCTATATATTTTATCGTATCGAGGACTGGTATGGCAATCAAACTCACAGCATGCACTCTGGACCTTTCGATATACAAACTCCTGTAATTTGGTAAATCGAAAAAAGAAATAAAAAATTAAAAAAATTAAAAATGAAAATCGAATGAAAAAAATAAAGAAAATTCAAGGCCAGATTCATGAGTCGGGAGTCGAGAGAGTCGTATATTGGGCAACTCTGCCAAGTTTTCTGCTTCCTTAAGTATCACTCTCTACATATGTATATATGTATGTGTATACATACATACATATATATAAGTCTTTTATATGTATGTATGTATAATTGTATAAATATTTTTATTTTTTGTTTTTTTTTTTTTTGTTTTGTTTTACAACTTGTGTAGCGCCTTGTTTTTTCTTTCGATTCTGTGATTTATATTTTGGATTCTATGCGTACAACGAAAAGTGGCTCGCATTATCAATGCCGGTGTCAGATGCATATGTATGTATTTTAGCCAAGGACCACTACCACATAATGTAAAAGAAAAAACGTTCTTGTTGGCATGCAAGAACACAAATGCCTACAAAATTGTTGACATGCCCACGCCCCCGCCCCTCGACCACGTTCCCCTCCACGAACACAAACATAGACATGTGAGACACAGGCCATACAAACACACATTCACACACTCACACTCACACACACACACACACACATTCACACGTTCATAACTGAAACAATTGATGAATACTATCTCATATAATGTTGTATTGCACATTCATAGAGAAGCCCTGAATATGAATACAAATGTGAATGAAAAATTGAATATGAATATGAATATGAATATGAATATGAATATGAATGTGTGGCAAGTATTCCAGAATTCTATGGGAATCGTGCAACGGGGGCGAAATGGCAATGTCAACCTCAAACTGAAACTGAAACTGAAACCTCAAACTGAAACGGAGGCCGTTAACAATTGGAGCTAGAGCTAAGCGCCAGCTGGTCACACTTGCCCCCACTCACACTCACACCCACTAACACACACACACACACACATTCACACACCAAATGGGAACAGCTATGTAAATATCTATTGAAACAATTTTAATGTCCGTGATAAATTTATATAAACTAAAAAACAAGCTAAATTCTGGTCTCTTTGTCTCTTGCTTTACTTCACTCTGTCTCTCTCACACACACTTGCTCTACCCCGCTCTTTCTCTCTAAGTCTGTCTCTCTCTCTTTGTCTCTCTCTCTCTCTCTCTGTCTCGCTGTCTCACGCTCTGTTTTTGTTATATATATGTATATGTACCCATATGTATATGTATGTATATATATAATGTATGCAATGTCTCTCTTTAACTGTTAAAAAAAAAAGAAACACACACACACACGCAAATTYTGTATAGCAAAATTAAATGTTAAAAAATTAAAAAATAATAATATTCATGTTTTGCATGTGAAATTGCAAATGTTGAAACACTCAGAGGGGAAATGAAAGAGTGTAACGGGTTCAATGGATCAGTTAATATGTTGTATATATGTATAGGCATATCTCTATCTCTATCTATATCTATGTATATATGTTCTCTCACGGGCTTTAACATACGTTTTTCTGTACATATTTGACTTATTAATTTGTTTATGCTTTTTCTTCACTTATTTTGAGAACAAATTGGTTTTAGTTTCGTGAAGTAGTGTGGTAGCAACTCTCTCTCTCTCTTTCTCTATCTAACTTCATCTATCTCTCTCTATCTCTCTGTCTCTCTCTCTCTCTCTCTTATGTACCCCTCAGAGCCTCATACAAAATTATTGCTAACTGCATATCACATGTTTTAATATATGTTTAATGGTGTTTCGCTTCTTTAACATATACAAACACACACACACACACACACACACACATACACATACATCATTGTATCATACACAATTAGCCGAAGAAGAAGAAGCAACAACACTTGTAAATAAAACACTGCGAAATATATATGTATATATCTCCTTCTTTTTTTTTTTTTGTTTGGATACCCTTAGCATACATACTTACATACATGCATATGCATATGTACGTATGTATATAAATGCATATACATACACATATGTCGTAGAATACCGTACATGTGTAGGTACGTATGTCTGGCTTGTATGCAAACATTAAGGTAATTCCATGAATATCAAATATATATGCATATGCGACTAGTTGCTGTATATAAAAACCAAAAACCAAAAACAAAAGCAAAAAATATTTTAAAAAAAAAAACACTTACATTCATTCATATGCTTAAAGCGCCTTATAACCTACAATTATGTAGTGCAGTGTATGGGACCCAAAACAAAAACAAAAACAAAATAAAATATTTAATCTCAAATCCAACAAATATTATGTAAAGCTAAATGCAAAAATCTTAACTCATATGCACAGTGAAAAGGCAAACAAACAAACAAAAAATCTATTTTCATTAACTTTTTGTTTATTTTATCACCCATACATTCACATATGTAAATAGTCAATGAAAGAAATGAAAACATTTTATAATTATATTATTTTTTTTCTATATA